CCAATACCAGAAGCATTCCAGTAAGAGTGATGGTGCCTTCACAAGAAGAAGCAAAAAACAGGATCCAGAATGTCGATGGTGAACTAGATGAGTTAGTTAGGAAAGGTGATGCAAGCAAAGTCGCTGATATGTCATTGTTTGCACTCTCCTTGATGAAAGCCTATGTCCAAGACGAAGACACTGAAACTAAGGTAAACAACAATGGTAGGAGGCGTTTTGTTTTAATAATCCAGTTTCGAATTCTCCAATACTCTGTGTTAGCCTCTTTTATGCGCAAAATATTCGTAATTGTGAGAATAAAAGTGTGAGATTTCAAATCAATTCTATTGTCTTTCTTTTCAAATTCCATGCGTTTTCTCGGGCTATCAATGAAACAAAAGAATATGTTGCTTGGTTTTGAGGCTAACACAGAGCAAACACAGAAATCGAAATTGGAGTATTTTCTTGATCGTCGATAGCTTCTTCTAAATGTTAATTTTACCATAACAAAGCCGAAAACAAAGTAATACTTTCAAAACAAACCCGTGTCTAGCGCGCCGGTTCCGTGCTTGAGCGATTCGTCATTTCAACCGTCTGTCCTAGGATCGTCAACGGCTCTCCACCAATCAGCGCGCGAGAATTCTACAAGCTACGGTAAAATTGTTATTTACAACTCAAACAACCTCCACAGTGTTATCAGAATATTCGATAAAATAAAGAAACAAACGTTTGGCTCACGGTCTCTCTAGGGACAATATACATAGTTTTTTATTACCGATAAGATGTTTTGTAATTGTTAAGCTACACAAACATGCCATATACTAGCTTTTGGGGGGAAATGTGCGATTTTGACATTGCTCCACAAGAATATAGTTTGACAAAAAGTATGGATAGATGTCAACACTTTTTAGAGTGTGGTCCATTATGCTTGCGTTACATTATTTAAGAAATATAAAACGGGGCGCGTGTCTCCGTCCTCTGATATAAACACACCGGGAGTTCGAAGAACACGAGAGAAGCAAGCTTAGGAACATGAGCGTTGCGAGTGTTTCTCTTGCTTCTCCAGTGTTTTCCAACGTGTTTATATCAGAGGACAGAGACACAAGCGGCCGTTTTATATTTCTATTATAATATTTTTCGAGCGAAAAGACAATCTTGCCGGTAAGCCGTGTTTCTGTCCTCTGATATAAACACGGTCGTCAGCCAATCAAAGCGCGCTTTACATATCAAACATTTTATAAAGCAATATTTTACATGTTTGTGTATTTCAGGTAAAGGATGATATTATCACTCATGTTAGTGGAATGAACATCACATCTGTTGAAACCTCTTTGAAGTGCGCCGCTATTCTWAAACCATCCACAGAACAAACAAAAGAGCTCTCTCAACAAACTCAGGTATTGATATTCATAACATTTATCAATCTGGTTGAATGTCAATGCACAATTTAGCATAATTTAGCAGTATTTAGTGGTATTGAGGTTGCACAGTTTTAGTGTTTGTACTCTATTGTATATTTTATATGTTTATTTTTTAATTATACAAATATCTTATTATATAATTAATACTACAATTAATATTATTATTATACTTCAGTTTAATACCAGCTTTCCCCTCCTATTACAATGCATATTTTATCTATTATCATTTTTAGGACAACGCTCTAGAATTAATTGAAAAAGTTACCAATGTGATGACTGAAGAAGTGGAAGAACTAGATTCACGCAATGAAACTACCAAAATTACACTTCAAACRGCTGAGTTCTTTGGTGATGGTGTGATTGGTGGTTTGAGTAACATTATCGATCCTGTGTTTGTTGAACAGATGTCATCAATTGCTCCAGCAGACGCAACCGATAGAAAGGACCGGCCGAATGTAATAATTTTTTTTTAATGTTTGTATGTTATCTAGTAGTGTTCACTTAAAGTGAAGGACCTCGTCGAGTTATAATGTTGCAATGCACTTGCCTGCTGCTCCCATGCTTGTTGAAAATGTTTACACTTGTCATATACTGTGACTACCAGAATGCTTTGCGCGTGTTCTTTTGTAATCTACGTAATCCTCTCAATAAATACAAGGAATAACACTAAAAATACACAAAGTATTCTAGTAGTCGTAGTGGAATGCTGCTATATGTTGTTTATCGCCTCTTAATAGTCTCCTTCACGGCTCCCTGAGTCATTTTGAAAAGTAGCCGTGCCCTTTACATCGAAGCGAGACAGCCTTTGAGCGTTCAATGGTAGATACATGTGAATGATTGCCTGTAGGTGTGAAAGAAGGTTCCTATCATTGAACGCTCAACGGTTGTATCGCTTCAATGCAAAGTCACGACCACTTTTCAATGGCGCCAGGAACCGTGAAGGAGACTATTAGATTGCTTCGTAGCTTTAATGCCAACCAATTTAAGATCTCCAGTGTGATATCCAAGAAAGCAGTAGTCCACAGACACCTCTTTTTCCACTCGCAACCATTTAAAATATAGTTGGATATCTTCATTCCAGAAAACCGATCGAAGCAGTGAGATACCGAAACGTACAGTTTTCATGGCGACAAAGGTAGCCCAAGCATTGTCATCAATAACAGAAGTTGGTGATGGTCCCAGRTTTATTAGAACAAAAAATATTGCCCTTCGTGTGGAAAAGGACATTCCCAACTCATTTGACAAGAAAATCATTAAGGAGTRTAAAAGTACTATAGAACTACCTCCTCTAAAAGATGTTTTGTCAAATGTTAATGGGACAGTCGAAGTAATTGGAAGCCAGGTAAAGTCTTCTCGTTGTGATCGTATGATTACAAATGTGAGATTATAGTTTAAACGTGTGTTAACCGGTGCGACGTGTTTAGGATTATATCAATTTTGGACAAAGACGATTCTTCTTTTGATCTTGTAGTGTAAACAGGCTAAATTGTGAAATGCTTCAGGGGATTCAGGGCACCCCTCGGAATCATTGAGCAATCACTGACTCTCATAAAAAAAAGGATTTGTCAGCTCAATGTATAATAATATGGCATTTTGATCTCTTAGAAAAATCGGATGTGTTAGAAGCGCAAATCGCTTTTTAAAAGCACTAATACTTTCAATGATTGATTGGTGTCTTTTGACTCGGCTCGCCCACAATATCAAGTACGGCAATGGCACTTATTATTTCAACATTGCACTCGACCAGTAAGTTTATTTTCTATCAGTGCGTCTGTGTGATTTTTCTGCCTCTTTAGCTTCTAGAATACAAGAATAATCCATTCGACTGGCACTCRAGTTCCAAATCCATCAGAACAGGAATCATTGACATCACCTTGTCACGCAATGGCAAGAAGATGAATGTAGACTCACTGGAAAACCCTATCAACCTTTATCTTCCAAATACTGCTAGTAACAGCCGACGCAAAGAACCACAAATAAACTTCTTCCTAAGACCGATTACAAACATTATTGATCTGAACAGCACAGCGAATATGAACTATCACGTGATCTACCTACCATCCGAATACTTTGTAGCTAGTTTGCAAGTGATTCCAGAAAGGGGCAATCTTCTAGAGGTTTATATMCGTCCGAGAAAAAGACCTTCGCCTTTGAATTACACTGATTTTTATATTATACCAGACCTATCGTCTTGCAAAGATAAAAACATTTTGACTTTTAATTTAAGTCTTTGCGTCGAAGATCCATACAGAATACAGTTTACTAGCAATACGACTGGTTCAACTGGCCTGCATTATATTGGCATTCGTACTTTGGAAAGGCCATCCCATAAGCGATCAAGAAGAAGTAGAGGKACCAACTGGGAAAAGACGTTAAATCCAGGTGATTTGAAGAGGTTTTGCCAGCACAATCAAAATACCTAAGTTAGACACCTACACGTACCTTGCAAGCTTATTTGCAAAAGAAATTGAAAAATCACATTTTCGTAAAGAAAATTAGTGCGCGTCGTTTAAGATGATGTATTACAATATAGTTAGAACGTTATGTCAGCTGTATATCGATTATGTTGTCAGTCACTTTGATTGGCACTTTGCTTTCTGGAATTCTATACGGTCTATTTAAGAATCCTCAACAAATTCATTTCAGATTGGGAGAGGTTCCGTACTAAACGCAGTGAGAATGGACTGTGTATTAAAGTAAAGGATCCGMTTACCTCCCCACCAAAGTTAATCGCCCCTGTCTATAACATTGACACCGACGTCAATTATACGTTTTCGACGTACTTCTCTTCTTGTTTATTTTGGTCTGAGACAAAAGAARCGTGGGAARCAAGAGGTTGTAAGGTTGGTATACAAGAGCTRGTGTTRCSAGAACAGTCGTATCAGACRTAGAGCACATGAAATGGTCGATTTTTGATCAAAATGAATGGACTATTATAGCCCACCAAAATGGCCAAAAATGATCGAGTTTTTATCAAAATCCGTTGACTATAGCCCTCCAAAATGGCCAGAAATGGTCCTTTTTTTATCAAAATGCATGGAACCAAGGCCTTAAACAAAGAAAAAGCATAAAAATATTCGAAATAGCTAAAGGATTTCAAATAGRAAGCCCGAGTAAKGGTTTATTTTGAGATTCGASCTCGGGCTTCCTTTAAGAAATGCTCAAAATTATTTTTGCGGTTTCAATATTTTTTCACAAAATCACTGGAAAGTCTGGTTAGAAAGGGAAAACACTTGTGAAGTACGAGTGGTTCATTTCCCTCTGGGCTTTAGAAAGCTCAATAAACTAGTATCGCGTCATTTTGCTCTAAGCCTTTTTCTTCCAAGCCTGTGTCACCATTGTTATCTTAATTTATCTGAAGTTTTTATGTGTTAAATTCTTCTTAGCTTGGAAATAATTCCAATTCAAGCTACGTGCATTGTGTATGTCATCACACAAGTGAGTGTCTTACTGCACACAGCATAACAACATTCAGTCTTAACTCTTTAATGCCAACACCAAGTGATCTTAGCTTGGAAATAATTCCAATTCAAGCTACGTGCATTGTGTATGTCATCACATGACAGCTTTTGGCGGGGACCTTTTCGTGGCTCCAAACCCCATAGACTTTGATCTCGTGCTGGCCGAATTCAGCAGAATGGGGGAGAGTGGTAACTATGTTGTCCTKACAACAGTGTTACTTCTGTGGGCTGCCTATTTTTCAGGGCTTATATTTGCCAGAAGAGCTGACATGCTTGACAAAATGAAGGTAATAACATTGAATTAATATTAAATTAATAGTAATTTCTGATTGAACCATTTACCAATTGACCTACATGTATTTCATTATCACGTCAATGTATGTGTACATCGGGTTAAGATGATAAAAAGCAGTATCTTCTATCCGAAAGTAGAACTTAAATGTATGCTGTTTTGATATTTGTCATTTATCAAAGATTTCTTTGCATTTTATTTGATATGCACTCRCTGACGTCATAATRAAAAATTGCAATTCATTRCCARCCATTTTAATGYCATAGGTCATCAATTGTTCAATCAATGGCTTCGATAAACAAATTGGTCCTAGGAAAACCTACAAAATATCKATTCAAACTGGCCTTCGGCCTGGCGCAGGAACKACAGCTAGTGTAGCCCTGATATTACACGGYRTTGAWGGGTCWYTTCCRGTCTAYTTGAACAATGATGACCCAGAAAAACTGCTTTTTGCAAGAGGCAGTGTGAATACMTATTGGATTACAACATCAGAGAACATAGGTAATATAGATGTATGCTCACCAATTTTCATAGTATTAAGTGCCTACGTTTCCTAATATTCGATTTCCTTTTGATTTTTATTTGCATCCTACTTTTTGAGCGCAGGTGTACATGTAAAACTTAATTTAAAAGTTTAGGTAGCAATATTAAAAATATATCTTTGGCACTAAAGCATCCCTATATACTCTTAGTGGCACATAAAGGCTCTTTTCCGCACTGCTTTGGTACTACGTTTGTGAAGTTCAGCTCCCCCCTGCATATAAAAAGACACGAACCACTAAGAAAACGGCATGGCATTTAATCATCCTCTGGAAATTGAAAACATAAGAAATACTGCCCACATTTAGCAAATGTTATTCAGGTTTATTTACTTTTAAATTATTGCTTTGTAGGTGAGCTGTTTAAAATAAAAATATGGCACAATAACACCGGRACATCMCCATCCTGGTTTSTCTCGGACATCGTRGTTGAGGAGGAAACATGTTCCAAACGATGGCATTTCCTGATTAACAAATGGCTTGCTGCAGACAAGGAAGGGATTATAACTGATGTAGTSAAAACAGACMATGATGAAGGAATGAAGTTGAAAAACAGGTTCCTGTCACGGGCTGCTAGACAGTATTCAAATTCTCATTTATGGCTTTCCTTATTTACTAAGAGTGTACACAGTACTTTTACACGCTGCCAGAGACTKTCTTGCTGTTTTCTTGTGCTGACTTCAACTATGGTAACCAATGCAATGTTCTATCAGTTCAGTTCTGAAACAACGGAATCGTTTATGATTGGTCCATTTAAAGTWAGTCTAAGGAGTATTAAAACAGGGATACAAGCCGCTCTTATCACTCTACCAATCAACGTTGCTGTTGCGTTCATCTTTGAAAAGGTATTTTTAAAAAAATTATATGATGATCATTGGTCATTTGCTAGTAATGAATAAACACTGTTAAGATACCAAACATCTCCTTTTCTGCACTAGATTTAACACTCCACCAATTTTAACTGCACCTGGAGATGAAGTAATTTTGAATCCTCTTCTAAGTGCAATTTAGAACCCTCTATTGGAGTAATTTTTGACTCTCTTTCTGAGTTGATTTAACACTCTGGAGTAAAAACTACTCGCATTTCAGTATAGTAGATTTAACTCTCTTTAAAGTTACTCCAACAGCTAGAGCAAGTTTGACTCCATAGGTGGAGCTGATTCAACTCCCTGAAATAACAGTGTAGTCGCACGCACTTTTTTAAGAATCTACACGAAGAAAGTAAAAGTGGTGCACAAATAGAGGATATTACATAGGCGCGCGGTTATACGGATTTGATCGTCGAGAGTTGAAAAGATCTCTCACTAGTGATTGTAGTGAATAACACTGTTATTACTGTGTTCTAGGTTAAATCCAAACAAAGAGCAATTGAAGGAGAATTGGTCATATTCGAAGAAAATCCTCAAGGCTTTATTCCACGCTTCTTTTACCCAATGGCATGGTTCTTATGCGTGACTGGMTCTGTCCTGTCGTCCATATTCACTGTGTTCTATAGCTTAATGTGGGGAGCCACTGTATCCAATCARTGGCTTACTTCAACCATGATATCATTCATTCAAGATGTCATCGTCAATCAGCCAATCAAAATCTTCCTACTAGTMTCCTTGTTGTCAATGATCATCAAAAAGCCAGTTGATAGTCGTCAAGATGTYGGTGCTTCCGTAAAGAGGGACATCCTTGATTCSTATAAAATYGATACACCCTCTACAACTGTTTTGTCTAAAGCGCGAGATATTTTGATAGCAACATCCACTGCAAAGACGTTTGTGGTGGAGATTGCATTYTATATGCTATTCATGATCCTTGTRTTTGTTGTTTGYTATGGCAATGTAAGCAATGAAAGRKTCCRGCAAACTACATCTATTCAAACGATTTACAAAGATTTTGATCAGGTATTAATTTAGTAATACACGTACTAGTCATATCATTATTGTAGATGGGAGTGACCACTTCTCTGTTAGGSCTACTCCGGGCCAGRAAGTTGMCTTAAGTCGCCTTAAGACGCCSTAARTYGCCAAGGGACCCCACCAARTTRTCGTCCGAATTTCCTTAAGTTGCGTTAAGACGCCAAAAKCTGYCACAGTGCCCCGCCCAATTTAMCCTCATTTTTTCTTAGGTCGCCTTAAGTTACCTGAAGTTGTGACAAATTAAGGCGACTTTCTGGCCCGGAGTAGGCCTTCTCTTAGTATGGTACAGGTACACCCGATTACTCTGTCTCTTTTCTGGACCTTGTATTTGTTGTATAGGCAATTTCTATCTAAAGAAATATTCATAATTAATTCTAATGGCTATAATGAAATAGGATGTTTCCTAGTAAGCACGCTATATAAGGGAATCATCACCTATTACATGATATATCTTTCTTGTGTCCCGCTCTTGTTCCAGGAAACAAGAACGTTCCTTTGCTGAATTTATAAGTAATATCTGTTTTAAGTCATTGACAAAAGAAGTCACTGTTTCAATGAAAAGAAAAACGCTTCTCAATTTGTTTAAGAACACTGTTTCCTTGTTGCAGCTAACATGACAGTTCATTTTGATTTATCAACTATAGGTTACAGATTCGGCATCCTTCTGGCTTTGGCTTGAAAAGGACACAATTCCCTTCCTTTTCAATAACACGTGGTATAACGGAATGATGTTTGAAGGTCCTGAGGGCTTTTTGAGCAATAGGGAGATGTTTCTGATTGGGATGCCTCGACTCAGGCAATTACGTGTTAAGTCAGGTAAAGAATATTTATAAAATAGAACCAAGTACTTTAAAGGGACACTGTCAATGGCACGCATGCGCGAGTAAACTTGAAAACACTAGGCTAGTGTTTTCAAGTTTATGACTCCAAGTTGGCGTGGCATAAAGAATCTAGAATATTCCAAAGTGTGTCAAAAGCACCACAAAATGATTTACCTCGAAGGTTATACTTTCAAAGTCCGTTAGAGGTGAGACTATTACTGCGCATGTCATCCATTGACAGTGTCCCTTTTATTGTTGAGCATTCACCAGTGCAAATGTTTAATTACGAATATGCCACGAATATTAGTTCAATGGTTAACTACTAGCGGATCTTAATTGTGCGACCTTAAAGGGACACTGTCAATGGATGACATGCGCAGTAACAGTCTTGCCTCTAACAGACTCTGAAAGTATTACTTTCGAGGTAAATCAATGTTTTGACACACTTTGGAATATTCTAGATCTGTTTACGTTTACGAGTACTTTTTTGTCATGCGTCGCGTCAACTTGGAGTCGTAAACTTGAAAACATTAGCCTAATCTTTTCAAGTTTACTCGCGCATGCGTGCCATTGACAGTGTCCCTTTAATGCTATAAAGCAAACCTCAGCGTTCAAAGTGTATATTAGGAAATGATTGCAGGTTGGTATTTTTAAAAACTTTAATGTTCAGACGTTTCGACTGAGATGCTACGCGTCTTTCATCTGCAGTGCTTTTTTTTAATTTTCAGATAATTCCTGCTTGTCTGAAACACCAAGACAACTGCAGCATTTTTTCACATCCTGCCTTCAAGAGTACAATATATTAACAGAGGACAAAACCCAGTACAGCCTTCCAGGTTGGCAGCGTCCTCCAATCGACTTGGACGTCAATTCTTCAGAGGAATTAATCGACAATTATTGCCCAAAACCTTGGAGGTACTCTAGTTTYAAATCTATCCAGACATTGCCATATATGGGAGATAATGTTTTATATGGAGGGGGAGGCTTTGTTGCTGATTTGGGCTACAGTATTACAACGGCATTAAGCGTCGCAAGTAACTTAAAGGAAAATAATTGGACAGATGACAGCACTGCAGCAGTGTTTGTTGAGTTCACTGTATTCAGTCCAACTACAATGCTGTTCAGTTCTGTAAAGCTACTTTTTGAGAGATTTCCCTACGGAGCAACGACCACTTCATTGCGTATCAACACTTTTAATGTTTATCCAACAACCAATAAAACATTCCTACAGCTTTGCCAGTTCTTTYTAATGATAATGATCATCATTRCTATTGGAATGGAAATWGCACAACTTCGTATACAAAGGTTTCAGTATTTCAAGGATATCTGGAACATAGTGCAATGGATACAGTTAGGAACYGTGGTTGCATCCATTGTSATGGCCTATTTCAAGGAAAGCTACACATCAAATTTCTTAACGCGAGTAAACGAGAATCCTTTCCAGACTTCAAGCACCGATTACATAGTCTTGTGGTCTGATCTCGAGACATTGTTACTATCATTTGTCATCTTTATAMTGACAATTAAACTTCTACGAATAGTACGATTTAATAATTATGTACTTAAGCTTTACASAAGTATGCAAGGAACTAAGAAGATGCTAGGACCCTTATGTGCCTTATTTGTCGTGGTAGTCACAGCGTTATCGCTTATGGCCTATGTATTGTTTGGGCATTATCTTTACAGCTTCTCAACRTTCAGTAGAACAGTGCTGAAGCTTGTTCATCAGTTAGCCGGRGGGAAATTGTTTCAAAGGGCGACACACATTTCAAATACAACTATAGGAATTATTTTTGGCCTTCTTTATGCATCAACAACATCTCTTATACTAGTTAATGTTTTTCTCTCGACTATTATGGACMGCTGGGTCGATRAAAAGGACAAAGATATTCCGAAAAGAGGTGTASATCCSATGGAAATAATACAATCATGGATGAAAAAACCKTTTAAAATGCGTAAGAAAAGAGCAAGRAGAAGAAACAATTGTCGAAAGTATGCAGTTTTGGAGATCAACAGTAACAAGAAACTCAACGTGCATCGATTGGATGGCAAAGCAAAATACGTAGTTTTATATGAGCAGAATAATTATTTATAATAAGAATATTTATGATTTTTTTTCCTGTTGTAGACTAAACCGTGAACCAAATAAGTGTGTACAAAATAATAGTACATTGTGCAATAGTAGACGTTTTTAGAGTGAAGTGAGTAAACACGTGAAACAAAATTTGACTATTAAAGTGTAAAAGTGAATAGACACAAAGGAAAACAATGGAATTAGACAGTATTAAAGTGTTTTAGTCGATATATTTTTAATATTTTTCCTACTTCACTCTATATTCGTGAAGCAAAAAGTAGTAATCACTACTAAATAGTGTTGATTAGATATTATATTATAGCTCAATTCTAACACGCGCGCTGATTGGCGGATTTCATGAGAAAAGCTATGATTTATTGCGCCGCTAAACCAGCCTTCTTTCATGAAAGACTTTTGAGACTAAATGTATGTATGTTTTTTTACTTTCTTTTATTTTCTGATATATAAAAGCTGTTTGTGATTTACAGATCTCTTCTCGTGTTCTTCCAAAAATCCCATGCGCGGTTTGTTTCGCCAGTAAACCGCTTCAAGCTATCGTTATTGCTTAATAAACGCATGGAATTAGCATAATCTACAACGATTATGTATTCAAGTTTCACGGATTGATCAGTGCGTCAGCTATAAAAATCAAACACTAGAACGAGGACATAAAACGCGTGAAACCACGATTGAAACAAACCTTGACTATCAAAGTGTGATAGTCAAATAGAAGCAAAAGAATGCAATATCTCCTCTCGGCGCTAGGAAACAAGTTGCGCGAGGAGCCTGTGGTTTTGCACCAAAGCAAGGCAAAATCGGGCAACATCCCACAAAAATGTCATCTTTGAGCTTGTTTATCATTTTGCAATACCAGGAAAATTATTTTTTTAATGGTGAAAAAAGGCATAGCTTTGATAGTACTTGACAGACACTCTTGTTCATTTGAGGGCTGCAGCAAACATGTTGCCCGCTTTGGTTTTAACCGCGAACAGGTCAATTAGAGTGTACTACCGTACGGTGTATTGGTGTAGTATGCTTTTATTAGTATAACATGCACTTAATTATATTGCACTATTTACCAATATTTGGTTAAATTTAAGTAAAAAAAAAACCTTATAGAATAAAAGAACTGATATATTTTCATTTGAATATGTTGAACAAATACGATGCATGTGATATACGTATGTATATAAACATTATATTTTTTTGATTATGCAAAAGAACTCGATTTATGTACACCTAACTGAAAAAAACGTAGTTGGGTTCCAAAAGGTTAAATCATGAAAGCTTAGGACGAAAGAGACTATGAAAAAGCAAATAATTTGAGTATAAGAGTGTTTCAGAGTCAAAAGATTGACTGCACTGAATGAAATCACCTCTTCGTGTTTAGCTATAATAAAAGATGTTCAGTTAAATTTAATTGAATTTTTGAGTACTTTCTGAATCCTCTTCGGAGTTTCAGTTGGTGATATCACCTTTTGCGACCCGAATACGTTCGAAAATAGGTCTAATTGAATGATATTTTATTAGTTATTATCAATGAAATAGGGTACGTGCGTTTCTTACTTTCGATCGCACCGTGCAACTGTATCTAAGTAGTAGACTTATTTGTACATACTGAAATAAGACCTGAAGTAAGATGGTATTGAATGCTTCATTTGTATCAATTTAAGTTAATTTGTGTACCGCATGTACGATTTACAAGATACAACTAAATAGCACTAGTTTGTACAGTTGCACGGTTTAAGTGCGATCACTACTCTATTTTCAAGATCAACCAGCATCTCTTAAGAGCTTTTGTTTATGATTAAAAATACATAATACTAAGCAAAAACTTACTGTTTTTTATATCTCTTTACGAGTTAATAATCCAAATATTATTGTGCTTAAAAGTTTGGTTTAAATTTGCACACTACCGCAATGAATGCCGGTTGATCATTGTCCTTTAAAGATAACAAGTTTAATATGTATACACCTCATTGCGCAAACACCCTGAGATTTTAGACAAAAGATGACCAGTCGAGCTGAACGGGGTTTTTTGCATGTTAAATAATCCTTTAATTACTAGAGTTATTTTTCTTGGACGACGTCTCTGCAATTAGGTTTATCGCTCTAATTATTTGATTATTGCAATTATAGAAAACAAAATAATTGGTTTCAGAAGATGTCGTGGTTTAGTTAAACGGCTACTTTGGAAGCTTTGAATTAATTAAGAAGCTTAAAACTCGAACACTTCTTTATGGAAGTCAAACATCACGCCATCACGTGAATGTTCMACACACATTTTATACACCGAGTCGACAAGTGGACCTGGGCCACAGGTCAAGACAGCAACTCTTTTACAATTCCCATGTCTACAGAATCCTTTCATTCTCTCAAAGAGAGCAGGTAGCTCTGGTCTGCCAAATTTAAGTGTAGGTTGGATTTCAGGTTTGATATTTGCATCGGTAAACTTAGAGGTGTCCCTTTCTCTTGTTAGGTGGAAGTACGTTTCCAGTTTGTCCTCGGGTGCGTCTCTTGCAAGCAAGTYRGGTGAGAATGAGTATGGCAATCTRTGGTCTGAGTCTTTATTGAAGTATTCYTTGTCGTATTCAAGCACTGATGTTACCATGAAGAGGTCACGCACTGACCAAACGAACATGAGTTTCTTTAGGTCTCTACCCCTCCGGCTTTGATAGAGTATGTCGTTGCAGATTGATTGCATGGGTGTGATTCCAATGCCACCACTAACAAACAAGAAGTGCTTGTATTTTGTGCCGTCGATGTCGAGACAAGGAGCTCCATATGGGCCATCGATGTAAACGCTGATCATCTTTGTCTTGTCGATATGGTCGTACAGTTTTTTGGTCCAGTCACCAAGAACGCGAATATGGATTGACACTTTGTTCTCGTGGGGAGATGATGATAAACTGAATGGATGCCACTCAAATAAGCTCACTCCAGGAACGCAAATGAAGCAATACTGCCCTGCTTTATAGTTGAAGTCTTCTTTGAGGAACGTTAGACGAACAACGTTTGACGGAAGTCGAACTGCTAGCACCTGTTTTCGCTTGGAATAGTTGTAGATGGCTATTAGCGCCCGTAATAGGATGTCAACAGCCCAAAAAGCAGCGCCAAAAGCCATTGCTCCTGCTTCGTGCCAGAAAGCAGTCCCGATGACCGCCAAAACYAACACCCAATGAAGGCGTACGAATGCTTCAAAGAACTTTCTCCGAATCGGCCAAAAAGACAGCAAGAAAAGAGCACCCATACAAGAAGTTAGCACTATGCCTGACACATCAGCYTCATTTGAGACGAACCCATGCCACGCACCGACAAGAACGCTGAGGAGTGCAMAGATCTTGTGCCATATCAAAGCTCGTTCGAATGGAAGCCCTGTAAATAGGATCCATATTGAATTGCGACATGCAAAAACGAACGTCAGTGCAGGTGCAATGCAAGCAATACTTCCAGTCGATTCATCAGCATCATTCCCCATGCCTATAATCCCTAGTGCGGCCGCTAGTCCTCCAACCAGAAGGAGAAAAAATAGAACTTCACCAAGAACGATGCCAAAGAACAGTCTAGTGTGAAAAATACCAAGGATTTTCCATCGGCAATAGTAGAAAATAGGGCATGGAATCAAGCGATTGAGCACTGGTGAATCATATCTGCTGTCCTCGTAACCTTTCCAAGGCTTTTCCCTTGGCATAACCTCGACCTTGTAAGCTTCTGTTATGGCGGGATTAGATGAACCTTCGACATCTCTCTCTCTTCCTTTCTTAACAGAAACATTGTACGAATCTGTCATATTGCGATTTTAGAATTTTTAGAATCAAAACATTAACGAAAATTGCGTGTCTGTTTCTAAATTTAACGGCTGAATAGTGTTTTCGTGATTACACTTCAATAGACTAACGAACTAAATTTRCATCAAAATAAAAGTTGGTGTCGCGTAGAAACAAAAACATTATTGTCACGCATTCTTGAGTCTTGGCGTTACAAGTRCACAAGATATTGACGTCATGTTATTTTGCAGTACGCAATTAGCTTCGACAAAAAAAAACCGTCGCTTTTATTCGCTATGGATCTAGAACATCAAAATGTTAATTAATATAAATGTTTTTATTGTTTTATTTTACGCGATTATAACATGAGGTCCGTCCTAACATCTGTTCCAAGCGTCAACCACAGCTGGAGGTCTCTAAATTTATACGAAAATGAAAAGCTACTCACCCATACATAGCAAATACTGTTTGCTTACAATCGAACTTTTAATAAATTGCCCTCTATATAGCGATCACCCTCCATTAAGCGGTCACTTATAAATTCCCAAAAAGTCCGCATATAGACCGCATTCATGATAAAGTGACTATTGATTTCATACAATTGACAATATTATGAAAACATTCAGCACTGCTACATGGAAGAACTACCAGGCATTAGTATTTGTGGAATGTTTTGAACTTTGGCCTATCATAAACGAATATTAGGATTTATAAGGAATTCTTTGCATATACTTTAGTAGCCTCCTTTGGTGTTTTTGTGGAGTTTGGCTTTTTGTCGAGGGTCGAGGGTCGAGGGTGGCATGTCGAGGGTCGAGGGTAAACATGTCGAGGGTCGAGGGTAATGTCGAGGGTCCAGAAAAACCTACCAGAACTTCTCACAAGTCTTTTACGAAAACAGACTTTAAAAAAAATCACAATCCATATTTACATCAGGTTTGTAGCACGATTCTAGTACCTTATGGCGAATGTTTTGATCATCGAAGCGTCGTTAGAAGAGTTAGTCAGGCGCCATTTTTTTCTTTCGACCGCGCGAGACTGGCCTGACAAACAGGAAACCCAAATAGCAAATGAACTTTCCCGCGAGATCAGATGACTAARCGCACAGGATTTTCGCACTTTCTCGTATTAGTACCTTAAAGTTGTCGTAGCAGTTTTTAGCGCTTTTTATACCAATAATTCTAAAATGAATAAGGCTTTAGCAAAGGCTGGTTACAGAGTGGTGTACAATCCTTCCGGGGATGGTGATTGCTTCTTTTGGACTGCTGCGTTTCAGTTGAAATTCAACAAAGATTCCCTCAAGGATGCCGTGTTTAAACACTTAGAAAACCATAGGTTTGATGTGAGTATACTATATTCCATTTGTCTTTTAAATAACAAACTTAGAACTCCCAAAAAATGTGCAAACTATCTTATTTTGTGCACTGTTTTGTGAATTAGTCTGATATTAGAAAATGCACCAGCTTTCAAAGTCTTCAAAAGGCCACTTACATGTACAAGGTGTGAGAACTATTAAAAGCGTGGTTTACTTGTAATCTTATCGTAGGATCGCCACGATTGCCGTAAAGAAGGTTCAACGATCTTAGCGAGGAAACAATCTCCTGCGATGCTAGCAATAGGAATGTAGATATATTCAGCGATTCTAGCGATTGTAACGATTATATAAACACTGCGCTCTAGTTTAGAAAAAAAAAACCCGAGACTCGCTCTAGTATAGTGCACATACCTTTAGTCTAAGATTTCGTCTCCCTACTTTTAATTAAACTTATTACGTAACTTGCAAGGATTTCTAGGACAACTTGCAATTGGTCTTCGCGCAGTAATGTATACACAGCATTTTTTCGAGATATATATATTTTTTTATTCAGTGTTCGTGGAAATAACCGGTTGTTACTGATAATTACATAATTTTTTAGCTGATATCAACAAAATGACTGATTAACTTATATTCCATGAAAATAAATGCAATTTTTTTGCTACAGGTAAAGGGCAATGACAAGCTTGATTTTCTTTGCAATGAAGACTTTTCAAGCAGTGCAGTCTTTGTGCCTCTTCTAACCCTTATAACTTCAAGAGAATTTTTTTTCGGTGAAACTTTTAGATGATCCCGCGCGATGCCCTTAGTCCCTTGTCTCTGTTGTTTATTTTTTTTTTGGCGAAATACTTATCGGTAGTTCTGAACATTTTCTCGATGTCAACAATGAATTATTCTAGCAAACCCGCGTGTTCTGGACAATATATGGATATGGATATTATGATATTTAGATATTTAGACAATTCTCATAATTTTTGCAAAAGGCTGTAACAAACGCTGTATGCATACAGTCGAATCTTTATGAAATGACCCTCTGTATAGCAACTACCGTCTGTTAAGCAATAAGAAGTATTTTTCATTT